ACATCTGAGCCGCTGAACTCGCAGTGGATTACATTGCTTCTGAAGGGAATGCGCCCCCGATCTACATAAATGAGTCTATGTTCGAGCGAATTATTCATGATCCAGCCTCATCTACAGAAGAAGTGAATATAATGTTTTGTAATGAATCTTTGCAAATCGCAAATTGCTAATTAGCAAGTTTCACGATGAATGCGGCTAAAGTAAACAGTCTCTCTGAGAGCAGCTTGGAAGAGAGGGGCGGGGTCAGCAGATCTCATTAACATTTAAAGGAAAATACTACAAAAATGGCTTGATCTGAAAAGAGCTGTTTTTGACAGGGTAAAAAAAGGTTTCTCAAACACTACCATTGAGAAATTTTAACCAAACTATGTTACAGACTTTTCATTAAGATCCTAAAGAATCATATCAACTTGTGGAAAATGGGCATCCTATGACCCCCTTTAATAAAAAAGTAATTCATTAATAAAAATGAGTAATAAAAGTTTTTGGGTCAGTAAGGTTTTTTTTTTTTTTAAGAAATGAATGCTTCAAATAAATGCTATTTATCAAAAAAAAATCCACAGAAATATGAGGCAGCACAACCATTTTCAGCTCTGATAATAATAAGAAATGTTTCTTGAGCACCAAATCAGAATATTAGAATGATTTCTGAAGGATCATGTGACACTAAAGACTATAGTAATGGAGTAATATACTGTATTAAAATAGTAAAGTTATTTTAAATTGTAATAATATTTCACAACATTATACTTTTTACTGAATATTTACAGTAAATTAAATTATATAATTTAATAATTAATAATTAAAAAAAAAAGTTTATATATATATATACACAATTGCAGAACACCCAATCCCTGTTCCCTGCATCTCCCTCCTGCATAATCAGTTTTTCTTTTTCTCCTTGTAGATGGAAATCAGCTCACAGACAATTTGCGGGCTATATACCGTATATATTTTTTAAAAATAATTCCAGTCTCGCTTGAAATCTCCGGTCTGACGCACGCGGGTTCTCGCGTTATTTCCTTATCACTTCTCGCGGCGATTCTTCCTATTGTGAAGTCATGCAGTGTGAAACCCCCTGTCGCCGATCCATCGTGCAATGTGAACACAGCAGCAACTGAATGCTACCCCAGATAGTCACACACAGTGTGAAAACAACGGCGAGCCGACGAGTTTGAAAATCGTGCAGTGTGACCTCGGCATAAGAGCTTGATTAGCTGGTTCAGGTGTGTTTAATTAGGGTTGGAGCTAAACTCTGCAGGACACCGACCCTCCAGGACCGAGTTTGGACAGCCCTGGTATATATAATATATATAATAACTTTTATTTGTTATTGGTATCATTCAAAACTCCCATAGCTGTACATTTGATAAATCATCAAATATTTTATTGCTGTGATTGCGTCACGTCACACAGCAGTTTCACGACTAATGTTTTTATATGCTGTATAATACTGTGACCAACTTCTCATGCATTATGCATTAACTTCTCAAATTTGAAAGATCAATTTCTTGCTGAGATCAAACCTGCGACACAAAGAGATACCGGGAGACTGGGAGTTGAAGGTAGACCTGGACAGGATGGGATGGAAGAGAAAAAAGAGGAAGAGGAGGAGGAGGAGGAGGAAGAGTGCAGCGTGTCAGTCGAAGCTGAGCTTGCCTGCATGGAGGAGAAATGGAGAGAGCAGTGCACCATCAATGAAAATCTGAAACTCCTGCTAGCCAGTGAGGAGCAGCAGTTTAAAGTACGTAAACGCACACACACACAAAGGCACATACATTATTCAGGTTCCTTCAACCTCACAGGGAAGAGCCAGCCAAGGATACTCACACATTAATTTGCATAAGATGTCAGCGCACACAAGCGTGCAAACACAGTTGAACTTCCACGGGTTGATTTTTAGGTCTGGTTCACAGAGGTATCGCATTTCCGTCAGTCTTGTGAGCGTGTGTGAACACAGCAATCATTAAGGACAGAGCTGGCCAAGTGGAAAGGAGGTCGTAAAGGGCTCTTCTTGTCTGAGTATTTGGACAAAGCTGGAGACACCATCAAAAGGAAAGTCTTTTATTTACAGTGTGTTTAAACGCATGCACACGCTCTCACCAGATGCTTTATGACTGTTTGCTGGAGAGCAGGGTAAGATTGTAGTAAACCCATTTCAACTGAACTTCAAACCCAAACAGACATTTACACAACGATAACTCCGAAAGAGAGAAAGAGAAGGAGATCAGCAGACAGTACACTGATGTTTGCTTTCTTTCTCTATTAGATGTGAGACCTCTAGTTACAAAGACTATGAGTGAGATTACAGTCGATATCAATTTGTCTCAGTTATACACACTACTCTCAACTCTAACCTGACATCTCAGTTAGCAAACTTAAACCTACAGTGTTATATAGGACAGCATATACATTTAAATTGATCGTTTGTCAAAAAATGAAGATTTTTAACTATTCACCTTAATGCAGCGCAAACATGCATATTTTTTTTCCCCTGTGAAACATAAGAGATTAAGATTAAGAGATTGTCCATTTTATTTTATTTTTTTAAAGAAAATTAATGCTTTTATTCAACAAGGACACATTAAATTGATAAAAAGTGAGAGTAAATATACTTATAAGATTTATCTGTCAAATAAATGCGGTTCTTTTGAACTTTCTATTTATAAAAGGATCCTGAAAAAAATGCTCCCAGTTTCCACAAAATTATTAAGCAGCACAACTTTTTTTCAACATTGATAATAATAATAAAGGTTTCTTGAGCACCAGATCAGCATATTAGATTGATTTCTGAAGGATCGTGTGACACTGAAGACTGGACTAATGACTGCTGAAAATTCAGCTTGCCTTTAGAGGAATAAATTATACTTTAAAATATGTTCAAATATTATTAAAACATTATTTTAAAATTGCAATAATAGTTGTCAATATGTCTGTTTTCTGTATTTTTGATCAAATAAATGCTGCCTTGGTGAGCATACAAGGCTTCTTTCAAAACTCGAAATCAAACTTTTGAACCATGAACTTTTGAGTGACCTCTATGAAATTGTTTCTAACTTGAACCAGTCATTTCAAAAGTAATGGAAAATGTATTCAGATTTGTTGGTCAGAAAATCCTGAGAAACACCAACATTTCAAGTCCAGATTTAACATGTAAAGCCACTCCTTATCTGTTTTTAAATATTATAGGACTTGCAACTTGCAGGTAGTGCCTTTAGTGGTTTACAATCACACACTTCACTTTCAAGCGGTGTTCTTAGAGCAAGTTATAAAATACATGTCTAGATGCCACTCAAAATATGTTTTATGAATTCCTTGATAGACTCAGGTGGCAGAGAAGGACAGAGAGGTGTCAGCGCTGAGGGAGAGTCTTGTGGTGGTGACCAGGGAAAAAGAGAGACTGGAAAAGGTAAGAGCATTTACACTATAAACCTGTTTTTATCATTTTTGTTTGTTGCTATATACACTAGTATTTTGTTCTTTGTTTGCTGTTCAAAGCTGCAGTATCTTCTAAAGCCGGTATTATTAGCTTGATCTTCTAAATGTTAATGAGAACCTTTAAATATTAAATACCTTAATTTGATTCTTAGCAGGTAAGACGCTGAAATCAGGCAGAGTGTGAATGTTTGAGCCCCAAGAGTCATGGCTAAATGCCACATTCGGCTCCCTGATTACCCATCAGCACTTGTGTTAAATGTTAAATGTGTGAATAATCCCTCTAATCATGGCTCACGGATATGAGGTCAAAGGAGAGGGAAAGAAAAAACAAGAAAAAGAGTAAAAAGCAAGGAGAGTTATACACTGTGTCAGTGCTATTTAAAGACTGGTAATATTTCATCTGTATTACAATAGTACTCAAGATTTCAGTTTCTTTGGTTGAAGATCATTGGCCAAAGTTTTATTCAGGTTCTTGTAGTGTCTAGTTAGACTGGGTCTCGTTTGTAATATTGATTATTAATGCTATAAATAATTTTGTTGACTGCTTGTTTTTCTTGCAGGAGTTGCGGCAGTGTATGAACAGAGTGGAGGCAGCAGGGAGTCGGAGGTCAAAGGTCAGAGAGCCAATGATGCTGCGTTACCCACTGCCGTATCCACAAGACCAACCTCCACTTCCACTGGTACCCCAACAACCTGCTGAACTGCAGTATGGAAACCCCTATTCAGAGCAAGAGACCCGGGGTGGGTGCATGCGTTTGTCTACTTTTATTTGTTTCAAATCCATTTTTAAAAGCAAGTAAAGTAAATAAACTACTAGATTATTTGAAAAATGTAGATTGTCTATAATGACCCGTTTATGGTTGAATTTATTTTATACTAAAGTAAGTCATATTTACTTTAGAAAAAAACTTGAAAGTGTTTACTTAATTATGAATAATGTATAAATATGAATAATATTTCATACAAAACCATTTAAAATTTAGGGGCCAGTAAGATTTTTTTGTTTTTTTTAAAGACGTCTCTTATGTTCACCAAGGCTAAATTTGTTTGATCTAAAATATAGTAAAAACATAATATTGTGAAATATTATTGCATTACAGTTATTTTTTACTTTACTTTACTTTTACTTTTAGTCATTTAGCAGACACTTTTATCCAAAGCGACTTACAAATAAGAAAAAGTAATTAAAACTAAAAGCTAAAACTCTATAAATACTATATATGTACACATTTAATAAAATAAAATAAATTAAATAAAAATGACAAATCATACAACAACATTTCAAAACTAAACATTTAAAAGAAAACAAAAGCTAAAAACAATTCAAAATATTAAAAGAACAAAAGGTATGAGTATAATAATGATTCTAACATAACATTAAGCCAAACACCAAAAAACAACTACATGTGTACTTTTTATTCTAATATATATATATATAAATATATATATATATAACGTTATTTATTCATGTGAAATATTTATTCCTCAATTTTCAGCAGTCATTACTCCAGTCTTCAATGTCACATGATCCTTCAGAAATCATTCTAATATGCTGATTTGATGCTTAAGAAACATTTCTTTATTAACAATCCTGAAAACAGTTTTGCTGCTTAATATTTACAAATATACAGTTAATTGCATTTCATAAGTGTAGTATATTTGTTTTGCTTTTGTGTCGAAATTGGTAGATTATCGAGACCAGTTCAGTGACATTGGTATCTAACTACTGAAATGTGACAGCCCTATTCAGAACTTCCTGAATTGTTGGTGCTTAGATGGAGCAGATGGGGCATTATCCCCAGAACAGACCTGCCGGCCCCCTCCTTTGGCTCCACCGCCGTGGGGTGGTCCTGTGGTCTGCAGTCAGCCATCACGCAGTCTCAGCCCCCCTGATGGCCTGGAGAATCCTGCTGAAGAGAGGCCTAATGTAAGGACACATACTGTACACATAGATAGAGCAGTGGAAACATTTTGAAAGCACCACAACAACTTCTACTGTGTATGTTTTCCTTTGGCAGCTACATGATGTACAATAGACATGGTCTGTTTTAATGTAACTTCAGACTGCTATAAGTAGTGCTTGATGGGTAGTATTGGAAGAGTGCATTTTAATCTGGACAGTGTCATTTTTAAAGCTGTTGCTTATCTGCAGTACATTGTTAAAACACATCCTGTCTGATGTTACAGTGACATTTAGCAGATGTTCTTTCAACGTTACAGCTTTAGAATAGTGATTTCCAAACTTTTTTGTCACAGCACCATTGATAAAACTGATATGTTCATCTTCATTAACACCAAAGCAGAAATGTGTTTTTACTTGATATTATACTGCATTTCAATAACAACACATTTGAATGTTTATGGTTCTCTGAGGTTGGTTTATGGTCACATGACATGTAGGTAAACAAAATATTTCATCTTTTTTAGTAAGTGTTTTGACTTTTTAAATTATTTTAATTTAATAAAAATTGTATTGTAATTTTATTTTTAATTTTAGAATTATTTATTTTAATATAATTTTTTTTATGATTTAATTAATTATTAGCTTTTCATCAACTCATGAACCCCCAGGGTTTTGCAAACCCCAGTTTGGAAAAACCCTGTTAGACTAGATATCATTTAGCATTATCTTGAAAATGATTCAAATATTATTACAATGATTCACAAAAACAATTTATAGTGAATAAAAAACAAACATTACTCCTTTCTCGTTAATGAGATGTCTAATCATCTTTGTGTTTGGCAAGATTTTACAGTTGTATCTAAATTTTTTCAAATGTGAAAAGGAGTGTGATATAAGAGGATTGAACAATAAATGCTTAAAGGATTACTTCACTGAAAATAAAAATTCTGTCATTAATTACTTACCCACAATTGTTTTGTTTTCTCATACATTGGAAAGGCTTCAGGCTTAAAGTGCATGAGTCATATGGATTACTTTTGTGATACGTTTATGGGACATTTGCATTTTTTTTTTAAAGCTTGGAAACTTGAATTACCATTCATTATAATTGCAAGGAAAAGAGCGACCAGCACATTATTCAAAAGAAAGTCATACAGGTTTGTAATGACATAAGGGAGACAGAATTGTTGTTTTCTTTCAAAAAGGATGCAAAAGGACCATAAAATAATCCTAAAAAAAATAAAAAAGAATCCCCACTTTATAATAAGTGTCTTTAACTACAATGTAATTAACTTTATATTTACAATGCACTTATTGTATACATACAATGTTTTTACATTGTACTTGTATCTAAAAATACAACATGAACACAATGAGTACATCGCAGCAAACAATTATTTTGATGCAAGTACATTATAGTTAAAGTCACCTAATATAAAATGGGACCCATAAAACTAGTTCATAAGACTCGATGGATTACTTTTGTGATACGTTTATGGGACATTTGCATTTTTTTTTTAAAGCTTGGAAACTTGAATTACCATTCATTATAATTGCAAGGAAAAGAGCGACCAGCACATTATTCAAAAGAAAGTCATACAGGTTTGTAATGACATAAGGGAGACAGAATTGTTGTTTTCTTTCAAAAAGGATGCAAAAGGACCATAAAATAATCCTAAAAAAAATAAAAAAGAATCCCCACTTTATAATAAGTGTCTTTAACTACAATGTAATTAAAACTTTATATTTACAATGCACTTATTGTATACATACAATGTTTTTACATTGTACTTGTATCTAAAAATACAACATGAACACAATGAGTACATCGCAGCAAACAATTATTTTGATGCAAGTACATTATAGTTAAAGTCACCTAATATAAAATGGGACCCATAAAACTAGTTCATAAGACTCATCAGCTTTATTTTACGTCTTGATGAAGCTTTTTGCAAGCTTCAGCGCTAACAAACGGGGTGTTATTGTGTCAGTCTTTAAACTGATACTGTATGTGGCATTGCCTTTTTGCCACTCTTCAGCAACCTTCACTTCTTCTTCCTCTCTCTCAGCCTTTCTTTCCGTTTTCAGCCTTTCCTCTCGACTTCCACCTTGTCGCCCTTGGATTCAAACTCTTTCATTCACTCTTTTTTCATCTTCTTTTCCTCACTGCCCTCTGCATTCCCCGCACCATCAGACCTCAGTTCATAGGTGAATACTGAGGTGGTTCATTTGCATGAAACTGCAATTAAGGCTGTTCTCTTTTGAGCTCGTTAGCGGATTAGAGTGACGAGGCTAGAGGCTCGTTAGAGAGAGATGTTGACGAGGGCTATGCTAATTGGCTGGGGGTGCCGGCCTGTGATATTTGAGGGTGCAGATCGGCGCTGACCCCTTTCTCCTCCTTTCTCGTTTGCTGCGTTAAAAGCCCATTAACCTTTGCAGGAAGCTGGCTGTGTGCAGACAGGCGTGGCTTTTCATCGAAAGTGTGGGTGGGTGTGTGTGTGTGTCTGTGTGAGATCTTAGCTGTTATGTCTCAATAGAGAGGTGGCAGCTAAATGTGTCCGCTGAAGAACATTGTATTATGTCTCAGTCAAGAAGAAATGATGTGTGCGTTTCATTTTGGTTTTTATGTCTTTCTTAGGGAGGTGATGGTGAGGCCCCTGCAGTCTGCGATCATCAGAGTCTGGAATCTAATGAGAGCCATACCAGCTTCTGCTTTGACACCAGGTGAATGTTAGGAAATACATGCAACTATACTACTCATACTGTGTTTGCATTGCGTATTCTGTACACTGTTAGTATGCATTGAATGCTTAGAAGTACTATATTTGCCAAAACCTGTTGTATGCTGCATACTATGTGAAACACTGTATCCCACAATGCAATGCTCTGGACTTGACTTTCAATTTCCAAAGTGACAAATGACTAAAAGTAATATCACAATTTTATTTAATTTTGTTCTATAAAATGTGTTTATAAAATAAGGACTTTATTTTAAAAGGCCAATGATGCAATAATGTACATGTTTTTTACATTTTTTATTTTATTTTATTTTAAAATAAATGTTCTTTCTAGGGTTTTTTGACTCATTATTGGATCTGAATGTCAAAAGTTTTGGAAGACATACAAAAACATTTCTTTACCCAAAAATGAAATAAAATATTACCGTAAATACTTATTTCCAAGGTAATAACTGGATGTCATTTGCAGTTTGGTGAGGTTATGTGACAATGAAGCATACTAAAGGTTTACAGTTGATTCATGATTACAAAGTGTGTGCTATAAACTATTCTAAATATTAGACCGTAAACACTACAGTACAGTATATACTGCATAGTGTGCAGCAGCAGTTATTTTAGTATAATTTATATACTATTAAATTTTGTTAACATTTTTGAAATTGTCTCTATATTTTCTGTTTTCATTTTAATGTTGGCTAAAGATTTTGTAATTTAAGTTCAAGTGTTTTTTGTCATTTTTATGATTATTTTTTAAATATAGTTTAGTAAGTTTGTTATTATAATTTTTTTTGTTGTTGTTGTTGCTTTAGTACTTCAAATTAAATTAAATGAAAATGAAAAAAGTTACCTTGGAAACTAGCTGAAATCAATTTTATGTATTTTATTTTTATTGTATTTTATTTCAAGTATTGGAAATGTTTTTAGTTTGTTATAACAATAACCCTGATAACCAGTAAGCTAGTTTTTCATTCGAAACAGTCCTGGAATTGATTTTCCATTTCCAAAGTGATGACTGACAGAAAGTAATATTTTATTTTGCTTTATTTTATTGTCTTGTTGGATCTGACTGCTAAAAGTTAGGACTTTTTCAGATAACTGACAACCACTTGCTGACTAAACAATAGTGAGATTAACACATAGCATACTGCTGTTTAAAATGTTTACTCTCTCATAGTTTCCACTGTAAACTTGTAGTAGGCAGTAAGCAGTCCTGCATATTATGTTGTAGTAAGCAATAAGCAATCATTCATTCCAAACACATTCCACTTGCCACCATAGTTGTAGAATAAAACCGTCTCACTTTCTTCCCCACTCAGACCTGATGTTCATAAGCGGTGTCCCCTGTGTGAGGTGATCTTCCCGCCGCACTTTGAGCAAAGCAGTTTTGAACGCCACGTGGAGTCTCACTGGAGGGTATGTCCTGTCTGCAGCGAGCAGTTTCCTCTGGACTGCCAGCAGCATCTCTACGAAAAGCATGTGCACACACACTTTGAAGAAAATGTTCTGAACTTTGACAACTTTGATTAGAAAGGAAAATATTTATTTGATTCTGGTTCAATATAAAACGCCTCAGGTGATTCAGGGGCTTCAGTGTCTTTTTTTTTTTTTTTAAACACGCTGATGTTGTCACTTTGTCGTAACCGCTGCACAACTCGTGCCAGGAGGACTTGCTATCGGAATATTTGATTTGCACATAGACGAGCATTAATTCAGATATTTAAGCTTCTAAGGGACATAATACTATAATAATGGTCTTCAGGTGTAATAGATATATAAAAAAATTTAATAAAAAGCACTTTTTAGTTTAAAATGTTGTGCACTACTGTAAAACTGATTGCGCTTTAAAATGAGAGCAGATAGCTCTAGGTTGTTGTTTATGAAAATGTAGACTTCATTTTAAAGGACTAATGATGCAATGATTTATGTTTATTTAGCCAAAAGGAGATGGCCAAAATTAATAAAGCCAAATCACTAAAATTACTCTAAAATCGTTACCTTGGAGACATTGAATGCTTTATGTGTGAAAAACAGTAACTAAAAGACTAATTTAAAGGGATAGTTCACCTAAAAATGGAAGTTCTGTCACCATTTAATCACCCCCATTTTGTTCTAAAACCATATAACATTCTTCTGTGAAACTAATTGCTGGTTGTGCTTCAAATGCAATTACGATAAATGTGGACTGGAGCTTTTAAGTTTCAGAAAAGATGTAAAAGCTCCATAAAAAAATATCATAATATCTTTTTAAGTTGAGCCAATTAACTGAATTATGGAAGCCTGCTTCTGCCACAGTTTTGAACTCCCAATTCTGAGAAGAAAAAGAATTGTGAGAAAAGAAGTTACAATTAAATTTTTTTTTTATCCCGTGGTGGAAACAAGCTTCCATACGGAATCAGTTTAATTTGTGAATGAATTGTTTAGTGGCTCAACCAATTCATTTAGGAAGCGTGAAAGCTCCAGTCTCCATTTATTCTACTAGTAGCTCCTTTAAATAATCCAATTATTTAAAACAAATGTTATTCTGTGTGATGACAAAACATTTGTTTTTAAGTGAACTATTTCTTGAAGCTCAGCAAAAATGACCAAGTAACTCAATCCAGAGCCAGTGTGCTAAATCAATGGCTGTGCAACTTTTCAGTGCATCATTGGTTCAAACATCTTGCATCGAACAACTTAAAACATTTAGTTTCAGCATTATATCCATCACACATTCCTGCTTGAAATCCATTTATACAACACAGCTGATGCTTCCCACTGTAAGTGTGCCAGGAAGTTTAACTTAGGGTTGATCTGTGGTTGTGTGTATCAAGTGTATGTTTATTAATAAAGAATGCTACAGCTCAAGTTCATTAAACTGAACATTTGTCCTTGTATCAGCAAATCATTACACAACAGAATAGTCATTGCATCAACACTCTATGGACAATAAAACACAGAAACAGGCAGCGCACTTGTTTGCTTTTCTTTATTTTTGTACCATTGTCCTAAAGTTTACATTGCAGCTTGAGGATAAAGACGTCTCAAAAGAGTCTCTCGTTCGCTCACACAAACACACACACATTATATGTCGTCTCACATACAAATTGCCTCGGTTCCACAAAACATTTTCCACAAAAACATACAGTACGAAAATATAATTTCAAAAGCACTTTACAAAAGACTTGCAATACGATACATTCACTAATATAGTATATCAAACTCCCTCCAAAATAAATGCATCTCAGTCACATTACTAGGTGTTAGGAGTCACTCGGATCCTATCCAATAAAAATCATGTTTAACAGGTTCTAGTTTGCAATTCAAAGCTGAGGCCAAGGAGAGGTACAAATGTGGTTACTGGTACATAGTCCAAAAATATACACACATACATACAAACAAACATGACACTGGATGAATTGGAAAATAACAGGACAGTGAGTCATCTACAATGAGTCACTCAACGATAGGCATCCAATACTTCCTTCATTCCCTAGCTCCAGTTTTTGGCATCTAAATTATAGTAACGATCCATTCAGTCAACTTTAAGCCTCTTTTTTTTCCCAGACAAATCATGGCAACCGTCCAAGATATTAGTGTTTAAATACAGATCCTGGTCCAAATATGGAAATATATGGAACATTTTGTCCATATTGAATTTCTCTGTCCCATCTTAGCACCACTAACAAAAAAAAAAGTATCATGTATTACCATGTTTTTGGACATGTACCATAAAATACCATAAAAATACCATGGTATACATTTCAAAGAACCATGGAGATCTGATAGCTTCATTGAACAGCACCTTGTTTTTCTAAGCTTCATATCTGGAGATATGGCAGTGCCGATTTTGGTCCGTGTTGTTTAATTTGACCAACCCTAACCAAGAAAAACAGACTAGTGGATAGGAAAGCTTCTTTGCACCAAACATTTAAGCTCTTAGCAGTTGCTAAAGACAGTTTACTTTTGTAAACTGTGGTATGCTTTTATTTTTGGCCAACAACAGATCCAATGCAAAATCGTTCAAGAATCAAAGTTGAGAAAATATATTCAGGCGTAGCTATGCATCTGGCACTATCGAACTGTAATACTAGCAGTAACAATATAAAGTAATGGTATAATACTTTTGACAACAAAGACTGTAATAGTAAGACTACAAGCCAAGAGACAGCAGAGCAGCTAAGCGGTCGTGTCATGCTAGAAAGCCGTAGCCTACAATACAAGGCAAGCAGAGGGCTAACAAATACGTATACACAAACACAACCACGAGGACAGTCCCAAATGTGTCAAAAATAAAAAAAATAAACAACAGTAACGACCATAATAAAGATCGTACGAGCTAAAACTGACAAAAAATACTGCAAGGCTGAGTACACAAAGAGAAGTTTAGGTCCTCTTTAAGGCTCCTCCACTAACAGGCACCAAACGGATAACCAGATGTGACCCGTCGTGTGTTTGGCAGATCATCCATGTTTCTTTTTCAGTTGGGGAAGAATAACTTGGCACTTCTGCACTGCTGGCATAACAGCAGGGTAATAGGGCAGAATCAATCTGCCCTTCTTTGTCTTTCTTTAAGCTGATGCATTTCAAATGGGATTATTGTTGGCTTCAACAATAATGTGTTTTCATTCTGGGATCATTATGTAAAATATTGCTCAGAACTCAAATGCAACTAGACAGAAACCACGTCTACGTCATGTAACCGCTTGCAGTCGTCTGGAGAAGGCCACATGCAGAGAATTCAATTTCACACCGATGGCGCTGCCTGCATGCCAGCCACATGCAAAAGAAATCTGGAAGGGTAACTTTACACTCGGTAATGTCAGCCGTTTTGATATTCAGTGTGGAATGTTCTGGAATGAAGTGAGTGGAAGTGAGTTTTTCCTTTTTCCTGATTTGTCTGTCTGAAAGTTGGCAGCTGTATTGTGACCTGAGATCAATGTCCTTCCAATTCAGACAGTAAAAGACTGCTTCTCTACAAAGCAAATAAAAATATGAAATGTAATTCAGGAAAAAAAGAGTCCATAAAGATGTGATAAAGTTCTTGTATAAAACATAATATAAATGTTCTGCAAAATATATCATGGAAAATAAAATGTTTGGATAATACAACTTAGCTACTAATATATATATATATAAATGTGTCTTTATATAATTTCATATGTACATGTTTCAACGTACCTACTGTAGTTTTCACTTTAAGTAGGTTTGATGAACAAAAAGAAATTGCCTAGAATTTCTTAACTCTTCTTTTCTGATTTTAAACCATTTTCTCTGAACAGACTTTAAAATCAGAAACAAATGTTTATGCCGTGTCCTAATCTTCAGCACAGTAATTTTCATTTATCAGTGACTGTGTCACTTAAATAAAAAAGAAAAGGAAAATGAAAAATAAAGTATATCTTAAAAAACAGTAAAGAAATGATATACATGGAATGTGCAAATGTACAAGTATATCTACATGTACAGTATATATAAAATCACACAAAGAGAAAAAAAGTAGTAAAAAAATGAAATCAGCATTTGAATCCCAGTTTACATATGATCCAGAAATGTAAATGAAAGGATGGTGTGTGTATCACAGCGGTGGGTGGAAGTTGATGGTGTGATGTCTAAGGCCTTGAGAGGTTTTATAGCTTTTCCCACAGCGACACTTGAAGGGCTTTCTCACACGGATCTGCGTCCTGTGCCCGTTTTTAGCATGGTACTTAATACCATTCACATTCTGAAACAGAAGTTAGAAGGAAAAGCAGGAATGAGAACTTTTCATGAATAAAAACACATTTAATGTAATCCACTGCAGGTTTTCTATACTTTGACAGGAAGAGACCGTCTAAATTACACATAATGTGACCAACCACAGTTTGTTTTGTTTTATTTGTAAATCATACTACAGTAATATGTTATCTTAATTTGTATTATAACGTGTAAAACAAATTATAAATATGAATTTTTAAATATCTGATACCACAATAATACTTATATTTCAAATATATAAATAAATAAATTATTTGAGTTATGAGTGCAGTAGTACCTTGTATCTTTTCTTGCATCCTGGAACAGGGCATGCGAAGGGTTTCTCATCGCCTCCATTCATGCACATGGAGCTAAGGATGGACTCTGAGCTGATGGCACTTTCTGTAGTCCAGGACTCGTCACTGTCAGAGTCTTCATACTCCACCTCCTCCTCATCACACTCACTGCCTGAGTGTGAAAAAGTTAAACTCTTTAATTAGTCATTTATTTGCTTTATATATTGGCTGATGAAAGAACTAATGAGAACTGAGAAAGTGCCCAAATGTGCCCTTTGCTCCAATTATCCTGGGTTTCTTCATTAGTGTTTTTTTGGCCACAGTTCAGGTTTAAAGGATTAGTTCACTTCCAGAATAAAAATGTCCTGATAATTTAGTTATTGGAAGTGAACTAATCCTTTAATATTTCTAAACCAACAGTTGTTTATGCAGCACAGATTCAGTTGAATTCAAGGCAGTCTGCTATTTATGTTTCTAACTCTTGCCATATTTCTCAACACAGAACATACACTGATATAATGACGGGCTTATTTAAATGCTCATTAAAAGACAAGAACAGTATAAAACAAACAGGAAATGGAGCGGCAGGAAGTGTGGACGTCACCCAAGCTTGGATTTAAACCAATGGAAACTTTTCAGTACAGACACACACATTCAATTAGTGCATCTTTAGGTTTAGGGAGGAACTAACTCTGACAGCAAATGCAACAGACCATAATTTAGAGGTTAATAAATCAGAACATTTCAGACTTAATTATAACAAATTAAGACATAAGAAATCAGCAACCGTTAAATTTTCCATGAGTATTACAAACACTCCTAAGGAGTTAGAAATATTTCAAATGATTGTTTTTCATATATAAATCTAACTTGTGTAATATCACACACAAACTCCATTCACCTGTGGGTGTGCTGCTGCGGAAAGAGGATGAGGGCGTGATGGGAGGGGTGACGGGTGGAGTTAGGCTGCCGTTGCTATGCCGAGGAGGCGTGGCCGTACTGTTACGCGATACACCTCCAGTGACTGATATTGCAATTTTGGGTTGGACCTTCTTCTTCTGAGTTTCTTGCTCTCTGCGTGCTGCTTCAGTCATGAACCTAAAGAAGAAGAAAAAACGCCAAACAAAAGGTCATGTTAATAGATTGATGTGCAGGACAGGTAATGATGCACCTGAGGACTATTGTTCTTGGAATGACTGTGATTACACAAAACGGAAAAAGCAACAATTGGAATTGGGTAACTAAAATATGTGTCAAATACAATTGGCATCCTTCTGTACTGACCTCCCAAGTGTGTAATTTCCGTGGCACAGTTTTCTTGATGTTATATATATTGTTACAGAAATTTCCCATTGCGTTTTAGTTTAACTTTTCTTGCATATATGTATGCATGTATGTGCTTAAGGTTATAATACATTGTATATATAAAAGTGTTTGTATGTGTATACTACAATTCAAAAGTTTAGGGTTGGTAAGATATTTGTATGGTTTTTGAAAGTCTCTTATGCTCACCAAGGCTGCATTTCTAATAAATAAATAAATAAATAAATGAAATACAGTAACAGTATTATTTTAACATATTATTACAATTTAAAAAATCTATTTTTATAGATTTTAAAATGGAATTTATTCCTGTGATGGTGTGAAGCAGCCATTACTCCAGTCTTTAGTGTCACATGATCCTGAATGATGCTTAAGGAACATTTCTTATCATTAATAATATTGAAAACAGTTGTGCTGCTTAATATTTTGTAATATAACGCTGATACATTTTTTCAGGATTTGATGAATAGAAAGTTCAAAAGAACAGCATTTATTTTTGTAACATTATAAATGTCTTC